CTACACGCTAGAAACCAATTTTACGCTCTGTAAGTTTTCCTGTTTGTGCTCTGGTGACGCCGTCGAAACCGAAAAACGTTTTGCTTGAAATTTTCTGCCTATGAGTTTCGAAGCAGTTAATGTTTTGTTAGTTTCAAAACCTTCGTGGAAGCATATTTTTTTAAAGTTTTTGAACAACATACGAGTATTTCTAATCATCGGGCTTTTGTAGCAAGGTGGAACAGGAAGAACGCAGAAACTTATTGAACGGATGTTATATTGCAAATATTCAATACCCCTGATGAACTCGAAAAATTAATCAATATGATACAAACAACTTCATTAATTTGCTTAATTATACCGCTCATTTGAGCTTCCCGGGTTACTCGTTTTCTAGTGGTAAAATATGACGAATTTAATCCTATTTTGGGAAAAGTTCTCGAAGGACTTCTAAATTAACGTTTATAAAAAATAGTTAATCGTGAAAGAAGGCTAGGCCAAAGGTTAATTGAACTGTTTTGACGGATATGATTTATCTATGAGTATGAGGAAAAAGGGTCTATTTATAACTCAATCAGGTTATTGTCCAATTTCCACTGAAGTCACAGTCTTAACAGAACAGAACTGCCGAGCTCAGGTACGTATATGCAGTACGATGAGATACTGACACCCTGTGGGATACAGCGAGTAGCTGGTCACATCATTCGTTTATAGAGCTGAACCCAGTTGTTCGAAGGCTGATTAGCACAAACCCAAGGTTAAATTCTAATCAGGGTTTCTTTAATCCCTTGTTCAAAAGTCTTTTTTGGGATAATATTCCTTACACTTTTTAGAGCATCCAATCACCAAGGTGTAGACTAAAAGAATTCCACTGAATTTCCTTTCAAAGCTTTCAGATCTGATATCAGATTTTACAGTAACCCTGGGTTATCTTAATCCAGCTTTGAACAACCGGGGCCTGGACGCTAACCTCTGTGTCATGATAACATCTCCTCTTATCTTCTAATCTTATTTCCTTATCAATAATAAACATGACAATATTTTATCCTGCTGCAATTTTTCAAGCTAACACAATGTAGAAGAGGGTTGATTCGGTGCAGTGAAAGATACTTTGGTGCAATAGAAGGTAACAATATGTTAAGCCAGGCTTTGAGCTTTTCGCCGCAAATAACTTATCAATACATCTAAAAAAATGTTGTTTTAATTGAAAGCGACTTTTTTTGACTGTAAGCACACCGTGACTCGCGCGCTTTGCTTCTGCATGATTATGGAAAAAATGTATGTCAATTTTTTTTCGTACATATGATCAATAAGTTGTTACATGATATTTCCCTGGAAATATGAAATGACTAAACGCGTATAAATTATTTTGAAGAATACAAATCGCACTTGCCCATGGACTCGTATAATTTCGCTTGTTTTTTTAAAAAATAACTCGTTATTTATTCTAAATTGCATTCGAAATTATGTGATTACCTATATTCAAGTTTATTAGATCTCATCGTGATAAAATCGCACACCTCATCCTTCCTTCAATATAACCAACCGCCAAATCGAACCTTGATTCGCTTGGGGCCTGGGATGGATTTTGTGAATGGCTCCCAGATCTAATTGTGGTCAATCACGATCAGCATTAATTTTTCTGCGCGGGGGAGGGGAGGTGGAACGCGCTCATCCTACTTTCGAGTGAATGTTCATGATACTTACCAAGCCGTGAGGCTAAATGAATTGTTCATCAGCAAAACCATTAAAACACATAAGTCGGAGGAGGTCGTCTTGAATGAATTACCCATAGTTTTAGATCAGAACTTTACATTCTATCCTAAGATACCTGAGATAGGTTTAGAAATCATCCAAATCTTAGGCCTTCTCGCCTCTTGAGCAAATAAAGGATCCTCCTTGATCAAGTCTCATTCGAAGACTGAGTTGCAGTTGAAAGAGTCATGAAAATGTGCATTCTCCAACGGGTTTCGAACCAGTCACGACTCCCAAATGCTAATTTGGCGCTACCTTTCGCTTGGAAATACAATTTGATCTTCATTTTATTCCAAGAATTTTCATAAAGTAGAATATTTTGTCACCCTAACATGATGATTCAAAGTACCCTTGATAAGATTTTTACGTCCAGGTATTTGCTCCAAAATTCTTGCATTTCACAAATGAACTAATATGCACCAATAGACACCAATAAACACCAATATACACCAATATACACCAATATACACCAATAGACACCAATATGACAACACTTACGTGGAAACGCTATCGATATGGCAAAAACTTTTCAACCGCAGAAGTATACTGGTTGTATTAGAAATATGAACAACTCTTGTAGCAATACAACCAATATAGTTGTAGCAATTAAGTTACGGTTATCTCGATATCTTAACAATACTTCTTTGCTAGCAGACCGTATTTGCTTCTCCCAATTTAACTCTACAACTTTCTCATTAAACGAAGTCTACACATCCTAAGATAATCTAGTTTTATCAACTGAATTGATAATGTAAGTTGGCCGCCGCAAAGAGTTCCTAAAGCTAACGTTTCGAGCGTTAGCCCTTCGTTAGAGCGAATAACGAAGGGCTAAAGATCGAAACTTGAGCTTTAAAAACCTTTTAAGTTGACCAGTTAAAATTATCAGCTGAAATAATAAAGCCAAGTTTTCATGTAGTCCTCCCCACCGACCCAGCACCACAAATGCTCAGTGCATCCTAAAAATTCCTCACAAGATCGCATTTTTTTGAACTGTGAACGAATGAGGTCTAATGACTGATTGATTCAGGGTTTATTTTAGTAATACTTCAGTAGAGTGCTAGTATTACAATATTGCCACTCAAATTTTGCAGATGAAGGTCCCTTCCTCCATCCTTAGATTATGTGAATGGGAATCTCATAAATCGACAAAAACAAACATGAAATGGGGAGACTGAGTAACTGGGAAACGAAATATTTTATTACATTATCGTCAATATGATTGAAGGTGCATTACAACTAGCCTTTTTACATCATCAGCTTTTGTACATAGCCACTAACGAGAGATAAATATTCAAAGACGCTATGCGCCTTATCTGTCGGTGCACAACAATGATAAATATTAGCCTTCTAGTGCCAAAAAAGGTTTTTATATTTTGAAAAGTATGAATTGCATTAGAAATTTTTAAAAATGAGTTGATTTGAATATAAGTTAATCAGATGGCCTGAAGAGCAACCAAATCTGTTTACGACGAAACAGCGAAATAAAAGGAATGTTTATGTATTAAGGATAGGTGAGAGAGAGAAAAACCAAGTTGAATTACATTACAACGTTGTTCATTTAAAGAACTTACTCTAATTCTTACTTACTTCTTGATATATGTTCCTAATTGCTCAATAGAGATAAAAATATTTACCACCTGTACAAGTCAAGCTAAATTCAAACTATAAAAGGCCTCTGATTGGAATTCAGTGGTGTTTTGCTCACGCTAACTGGAATTCTTCAACCTTATTTATAATTCATTTTGAGAATTATTACTTTTAAGATTTTCGCCAAAATACGGCTAACTTCATGAGGGCTTAAAAATATTTTTGATAAATTTTAATTTATGCAAATCCTACGATGTCGACTTAGCTGGGAAGCTTGTGAAAAAGACTTTCCACACCGTTCACATGAAAATGGCTTCTCTCCAGTATGCGTGCGCATGTGATTATTCACAGTAGTCGCTCCGCTGAACGATCGCAGGCAGTAACCGCATTTGAAGGGCTTCTCACTCACGTGAACAACTGCGTGCATGCGCAGTTCTTTAGGTTGCGCAAAAGATTCATGACAATGGCCACATCGATAGGGCTTACAAGGCATGCGCGAACAGAGATGATTATTCAGAAGAGAGCGTTGAGTGAAGGACATTTTGCACTGACCACATTTGAAATCATCGCTTTCCCTGATGTTCTCCAACACTTTATCATATATCTTACGGTATCCTGTGGTCAGCTGAATTCCTGTGGTGGTAACCGAGTTGTTTTCTGCTGGTGAGGTACCATTGCTCGATTCTTGTTGCATTCGGGGCAGCTTGAGGGGTCGTTCTGTTTCTTGAGGGAATGATTTGTCAACCTGCCGCTTACAAGGAGGGAGGCTGTTTTTGACACAAGACTTGCTGCTCCTCTCTTGATGGTTAGTTTCATGACTCATATTAACTGGAGAAGTTTCTTGTTCACTCTGTGATTCATGGGCGCTTGAAATAGTGACATTGCCTGCATGTTGCGTGCTCGATGCTTTCCCTTTAAAAACTAGAAAAGAAATGGAGTTACATTTTGTCATATATTTGCTCGTCGTCTGTGTACGTCCTGTTACAGGACAAGAGTTTGACCAAATCGAATTATGTAATGAATTAAGGCTGATAGTTTCTAAAGAAAATGTTTGGGGCTGCGTCGGTGGGGGTAACGAAATAATTTGGATATATCAACAAAGTTGAAATGATAAATTGGCGACCGTAACGATTACAAAAGCTGACGTTTCGAGCGTTAGCCCATCGTCGGAGCGAATAGAGGAATTGTGGGTTGTGTGTGCTTTTAAACACGAAGGCGCGCTGTATAAAGAAGCCTTCCCTGGGAAGACCTAGGTTCATTTGTCACTCACCGTTAACGTGTGCGGGTCAAATTCAAATGCTGGTAGAGGAACAAAAGGAGCTAATGCATGAGATATCTACTGTTTACTTCCACCAGCATGGTGGCATGAGGTAACGTGCGAACCACCTACTTCAATCTCAAATTTACCGCCACAAATAAAGACAGTTTCCATTGGAGAAAGGAAATACAAATCTCATTCTTGTATTGTGATGAAGAAATAAAACAATTTTAAGGAATGCGCCCGCTGTTCACTGCTTTGGAGGAGCTGTAGCTCAAGCTGACTTGACTCTAAGAGTTCTACATCACACGACGGTTGATTGACAAATGGTCCAGTGGGACCTAAGGCTCCTTTTATAGCGCGCCTTCGTGTTTAAGGGCAGAAAATGGAGCTACGTTATTGGAGGGAACATGGCATCGAGAAAAACACGAATGAATTAGTGGAATGAAAAGCGTTCGTTGATCACTGTGGGATTTAGACTGCCGGTTTGAAAGAAGGCAGTAATTTATTCCTGTTTTTCTCGTTGCCATGTTCCCACCAATAACGTAGCTCCATTTTCTGCCCTTAAAAGCACACACGACTCACAATTCCTCTGTTTGCTCCGACGAAGGGCTAACGCTCGAAACGTCAGCTTTTGTAATCGTTACGGTGGCCAATTTGCCATTTCAACTTTGTTGATATATCCAAATTATTATGTAATGAATTGCTGACACAACATCTAATTCAAAATAGTCAATAAACAATGTCTTAATTCGCGCATTTATATTTTCTGAACTCAGGAATTGAAAGGCAACGTTTTTGGAATTCGTTGTTGAAAAAAAAAAAAACTAACGTATGTGACCTCCTTATTTTGGACTACATTTGCTAATTATGGCATCAGAGCCATCTTTTTTTAGGCATACAATGATCCAGTTTCAGTTACTGAGAAATCTCTCACCTGGAAAGTGCTGTGAAATGTCCTTATCCCAGTTACTAACAGGTATTCCCATGTGCTGGAGGTAATATTTGTCATCATACCAGACCAATAACTCCGTGCCACTCGGTATTTCACGGAAAGCGCGATAAAAGATACTCTTGTTGTGCTGGAATGCAAACATGTTTTGCTCCTCCTTGTGACGAGCACAGCGAATAAAGCGCATCCAGCTAGAGGTATCCGTATCACTTCCGTCCAAAAAAAATGCCAGCTTACCGTTGTCGTAGACCTGCAGCAAGAAAGAATAACATATTAATGTTGGTGCTGGTCTTAGTGCTACTGGATTTCCGAAAGAAATGACAAAAACAAACAAAGAAACAGAAAAAAAATACCATAATCGATGTTATTTTCTCAGCTATTGAGTTATGATTCATTTGTCTAGAGCTTTACAGGAGGAAACAAGTTGAGTGTTGGTTCGAATTCAGTAATAAAACCTAAAAAGCCTGGTGCATGATTTGTCAATAAAGTGAACTTGCAGTGATTCAAGAAACACAGTGTAAGTATGTGAAATTTAGTCATAAGCCTGATTTCAATATTGTAATATTGAAAAATTTAAAAGTCAATTCATTAATCTTAAAGTGATAAACCTATAGTCTACAAGCGAACATACCTCCCACATGTATGACGTGTCTATATCCGGGGTAACGTTAACGTTGTCAGTTTCCAATGAAAGACACTTTCCTTCGTATGGACCAATCCATGTTCCCGCAGGAATATGATGCTTTGCGCAAACTCCGTGGCCCTCCCCTGGGATTCCAGACAGGCAAAGTTTCACTTCATCCGGGAACGAGGACACAGCGTAACATAGCTTTGTATTTCTTGCGGACTTACTTTGACCTGTCTCCATGGCGACGTTAATCCATCTTTTGTCTGGTGCTGTTTTGAGAAACTCGGGTTGTTGTTCTTTTGGATAACAGTGAGAGTCAAATGAAATAAATTGATTATTACGAGCTAATTAATTTTTTTTTCCTAGAAGCTTTTGTCGGAGACAAGCAAATAAAGGATCTCTCCCTATAATTTTCAAAATAAGATAGAGTTTTACTATATTGATTGTACACATTGATCGGTTTCTTTTATATAGAAAAATTAGTTAGCACATATTACTCGGTTTTTATGTAAGAAATGTTTTTTCAATTAATTTTTTTTAATATCAATTTTTATTTCTCCACTTCACTCTATCAGTGGACCCAATTGCCTTGTCAAAAACAAAATATACTGACACTTACACAAAAGTCTACACCATACCATGCCTTAAGCGCAACTGAAATGTTCTTATATGTTAACACATACATTTGATTTGATCAGTGTCACATAATTTCAGTTATGTTAAAAGTTTCATTTTACTTAATAACAGAAAGTTTATTTAATGTTAGTGTTTCAGTATAGAGGATGCTGGTTGGCTGAGCGCGTTTATAAATTTTGTCTTTGAGTGCAAATAGACTCTGTTTGTTGTATAGATCGTTATTACATATTCCGATAAAATTTAAAGCAATTTTCTAGATACAAAACCTAATTACCGATCTTTCAGTCCCAGGCAGAAGCAAATTTAAATCCGAATCTGCCGATTCTAAGAGAGGTTTTGATTCATTATATTTATGGGAGTTTCAGGGCTCAAAGTTAGCGACCAGCTGGTCGCACATGCGACTAGATTTTTAATTGTGCGCCTAAAAATTCATGTGTGATCGCACTTGCGCCCCTATAAATCGCAGAGATTAGTGCGACTGAGCTTATCGCCACTCAACTCTGTTTTCCTACCTGATCATTCTAAAATGACTCCGACTGGTTGGACATGAAACGGAAGATTGAAATAATAAGTTCAATCGTAGGTATGACATAATCGGGCTGCAAACAATAAAGTTATCATTTTCCTTGCATCAGTGTGCGTTTTATTGGTCTTTATCTGCTGTGGCTTCTCCGAACTCGGAGCTCCATGTTCCCATTCTATCCCAGTCCTATTCGGTTTTGCAAATACTCCGCTGACTCATGCGAGTGAAGGCTACCTTTAAAGCACGTGCTTCTCGGCAATCAAGTTCACCGGTCGATGTGAAAGGTAAAGCCAGAGGCAAGAATGTCTAAACAACCTGGTTTAAAAGACTTTTTTTCTTCACGGCGGGAGCAATTTAAATAAAACGACGAATAATAAATTACTTTATTGTATTGTATTGTATTGTACATCTCAGTTAAGTCAATGGCAATCAATGTAATTTATTCTCTTACGAAACGCTCATTTGCATAACTATAGTTTTGTTATTGAACAGCCGGCCGGCGCCTTCTTCTTCAGCTTCGAACTCGAAAACTTCTTCAGTGTCCAGCTCCATTGATAGTGCTTTACTCCAAGATATAGAGGACGAACCAGAGACAACAAAAAAAGAAAAGTATATAAGTTTCAGAGAGCATGGCTGAAGGAATTCGAATGGCTTGAATGCGATTCAGAAAAAGAGTTGATTCGCTGCCGATACTGTAAAGCCTTCCCATCCTTAGTCAATGGATGCAGCAATTTTAAACATGAGACACTTACTAAGCGCTCGAAGAGTAAGAGCCATGTTTATTGCAGGGATTGTTATTTGAACCGTAGCGGTCAGAGACCAAGGCGTCCCAACTTTGCTTAGAGAAAGTGGCCAGATGAACTAATCTCAGTTGCTGACTCGTGGCACTCACAGGATTTCGAATGATCGAGTTAATGTTGTATTAAGGACATGGTTCCAAGTCCAAGTCTGTTTCAGCTTTAAACTAAAGGTGTATTCATTGGAAATCAAATGAAAGTTGTGAACAGTAAACTGGCAGTGTATTTTTTCTTAGTTATTCACGCTCATTTCAAAGGAAATGAATACGGAATTTTTCTGTTGCCTTGAATGTACAGGTACCATGAAGTGCAATACTTCTTGAGATGGAGAAGTTAATTGAAAAAAAACCTAACAGTATGATAACAGTATTATTGTTATCTCTAATGTAGAGTAGTAGCCTGAAGGTGGGAACAAACACAGATCCGTTTAAAATAAAAGACATCATGCCGATAAATGATTACTTATACAACGTCTGAAGCTTTCTGTTTTTTTTTTTTTTGGTTCCACCAGTATTTTAAGCTGTGCTCCTAACATTTTTCGCTGTGCGCCTAGAATTTTAGTAGTGCGCCTAAAATTTTACATCTGGTAGCACGAGTGCTCCCAAAGCCAAAATTCAACTTTGAGCCCTGGGTTTTGTAGAATGTTAACTGTCCCTTTTAATTTTATTTATATGATCTTTAACAATGGTTTAACAGAAGATTGACTTTAACTTATGTAACTCTCCTAGTTTTATACGTTGAGCCATAGAATGTTTTTTTTTTGATAAAATTTAATTACGGTCGTGAAAATTTGATTGCGTAGGTTTCTACATGCAAGAAATCCGTCCATAAGTATTTTACTTCCAATGGAATATTTTTCAGAGGGTCCCAACGGGGTTAACAGTTAGCCGTAAGACAAAAAAATTAGCACCTAGTGCGAGAAATTGGTCCTTGGTGTTTTCTGTAAGTACAGACCTCGTTGCAGTAGCTCCCTACCGTTAAGACCTCGCCCTAGGTCAATAACATGTATGCGTGGAACTCGAAGTTTAATTTACCTGAGCTGTCCATGTCTTCTTCAGTCGTCGTTTTTAAAATTTGTACCACCTCCACAGGATTTCTCCCGTACAGAACATATTGCAGATCTTGTTCAGTAAAATGCACACGGTACTGTGAAGATCCTGTTGATGATGGCGAACCGTCCATCTAGTACACGTAAAGTATAAATTAATGGAATATTTCAGCTAGTATTATTATTCGTTTATAACCAACAGAGTGGGGTTTTAAGTTTGGCAATTCGTCTGTAATGATTTTGCCAAGCGTAAATACGATGAATTTTGCCTGAATTTGACAACTGGGCTGTCGTATTTAGTGAAGATTATTAAAGAAATCCAAATGGCGAGGTACCTTAAGGGAGACTACAGATCACCTTGCGTGAATAAAGACCATTATGATGAGGGACCATTATGATGAGGGACCATTATGATGAGGGACCATTATGATGAGGGCGTCAATGGTGCTGACCGTTAGCCGTAAAATGGCCAAAATTTTAACTGTTAGCTGTATAAGCCATCACCCATTGAGATCCTTGTATTTTGCTGAGATTTGAAACATATCGAGCTAATTATTTTTAACCCAAGCAAGAAAAATGTTCTCTTTGCTTATATCAAAGATTGCGTAACAATTTTTGCTAAAGATAATGTTTTGTTGGTTTTCGTGTAACGGTATTTTCGTTATCCATTTACCTCATTGCCGGACAATGCTGTCATCCTTATTCAAGTGTATAAGATAAATTTTAAGTATACATAATAAATTCTGGAATGTGTTCTTCGAGATACCTTCCCGACACAAATGTTTCAACTTAGTACGGGTTACTTGAGAAATAAGTTGCCGTATTCACCAGACTTTCATTTGTCTGAAAAATCGTTCAAAACAGTGTCCAATGAAATTGTGTCGCATGGTATCGTTTCGCAGTGTTCCAACGAAGTCAATTCCGGAAACGTCTGCGGAACCAATCAGATTTATAGAAATGTTCATGGAAAAGCATTTTCTGTCAATACTGGTCAATCCATCTCATTTTATTTCAAATTAGAGGAAGGCTCATATCCGCTAAATCTAGTGAACTCTTCGTAATTGATCAGTGCGAAACTGCCATGAGTAATTGAAATTCGATCTCTAATTGGTCAAATTCCAGCCGCGCCATTAGAGGAAACCACTTCAGGTGACATCGAAACTTCTTGTTAAATTTAAAAGAACGACGGAGGAAATTATGGGCAATGTTGAGATCCTCTATGATACATCAAAACTTCGGGTTTATCGCATTTTTCTGAGATTCGAAACATATCGAACAATTAATTTTTTTACCCAAGCAGGAAAAATGTTCTCTTCGCTTAAACCATAGCTTGCGTAACATTTTTTTGCATGGTAAAGATAATGTTGCGTTGGTTTTCATGTTATGGTAATTTCATTATCTATTTACCTCACTGGTGGACAGTGCTGTTATCCTGATTAAAGTACTTGATAAATTCTGAATTGTGTTCTTCGGCCGAGATAGCTTCCTGACACAGATTGTTTGAACTTAGGACGGGATACTTGAGAAATTGGTTGCCGTATTCACCAGACTTTCATTTGTCGGAAAAATCGTTCTAAGCAGTGTCCAATGAAATTCTGTCGCATGGTATCGTTTCGCAGTGCTCCAACGAAGTTAATTCCGGAAGAAATGTCTGCGGAACCAATCAGATTTATGGAATAATACATGGAAAAGCATTTTCTGTCACTTTTGGTCAATTCATCTCAATTCATTTACAAATTAGAAGAGAAACTTCGGCATATCAGGTCAATCAAGTGATTCTTATTAACTGATTATTGCGAAACTGCCTTAGGGCTGGGTCGCACTAGAGCGAATTTTAGCAAATTTTGTTTGCATAAGTAATAAATCTGTCACCAAGTAGCGTAAAATAAGTGCGACCCCAGTTTTAAAAACTCGCCAATTTTTTGCGGATTGCCAAATTTTCGCCAATCTTTAAAGAAGCCGAAGTGCTTTAACCACTGAGCTGTCATTTTTCTTCAAAATACTTGGATCAAGTTACGGCGGGAAAAATTACTTTGTTAGGCTAGTGCAGGTTAGCGGTACGATGTCGGGACAAAATTATTTTTTTTCTCGGTCCATCTAACCATTATTTCTATGGATTTTACAGTGGAAACGCGGAATTCGAGCGGCAATTTTTAGGAAATGCCTATGACTCCTACCCTGGAACCGGATACCGGCACCAATTCAGTAAAAAACTAAAAAACGCTGCGTTTTTCTGTTGAGACTGAAACACAAAATTCAACAAAAGCCCGAAAGCCGCGAAAATAATCATCTGTATATCACGATCCATTCTTGCACAATCAGTGCGCGAGATGTTTTCTTGACTGTAGATCTCGTGACATGACATATATGTTAATCAGCAAAGTTTTGGCTCAAACATGTTGGTCCAATGCGACCACCGCCAAAATTTGGCCCTTGCGAAATTTTTGCCAATTTTTTCCTCGCCAATAATTGGAAGTAAACAAAATTGGCTCTAGTGCGACCTGGCCCTTAGTCGGTTTCGCAAGATGCTTAATTAAGGCTAATTGAAACTCGATCTCAAATGGATGTTACTAAAACTGGGAACGGGGAACGGGGAACGGGGAACGGGGAACGAGGAACGGGGAACGGGGAACGGGGAACGGGGAACGGGGAACGGGGAACGGGGAACGGGGAACGGGGAACGGGGAACGGGGAACGGGGAACGGGGAACGGGGAACGGGGAACGGGGAACGGGGAACGGGGAACGGGGA